GGAAGGGGTTGGAAGAACTGGAAGGAAAAGTAAGGTTTCTGGCTGAGAGTCTTAGAAGTCAGGTACAATCATGTGTGTGGAATGGGTTGAGGAAGTACAAAATGTGTGCTCCTACCTAGGAAGTGTGCATCAGAGGCACACAGTGCAGCTCACAGAGTCAGATGTCTTTCTTAACAAGTGAGAGGTCACTGTGCTGGGCTCTTATGAATGAAGAGCTAGGAGGTCAATCAATACTTATTTATTAACAAAGAGTTACTAATGTCTTCTTAAGGAGGTTATGTCAGAGATTGAGGTCAATCTCAGACATTTCCAAACTGTCCAATCATGTTACACAGTTTGGTCAATCCCTGGCTAAGAGCAAAAGGGCTATATATTAAAGTTCAGAAAATGTCTTCATTTAGGCCAGGGGTCCAGATTAGTCTTCAATTAACTCAATAGAGCCTATGTTTAACATTCACTACCATTGATTTCACACCAGATGTGACCAGATCCTGGGCAGATAAGAGGTAGAAAATAGCTCTCTTTTCCTCTGAAGAGGAGAGAAAAAGACCAGCTAGACATTACTGTACATGAGCCATGAAGCAATGTGCTTCAATAGTCATCAGGCATCTCTGAAGGCAGCCTGAATAATTTACTTCCAATTATAAAAAAAAAAAATTACAGTTATCAGAAAGGCAGTAACTGTTATATAAACATAACCAAAAAGCATGAGACTATCAACTGTTATTTCCAGGAAAAAAACAAAACACAAATTAAGGAAATAGATGGCACTCCATTTATTATAAGCAAAGACCTCTCTCTAAACTAAAGCAATGTGTTGAAAACTTTTAAGACCCAGGGAAATTCACACAGGATTCCCATTCTTGGATCTCTCCCTAGAACACTCTAAGACATTCCCTCTAAAAATGTAACAGGTACTTAACTTCTATTGAGCACCGACTGACCTGAGCTTGTCTCCTCTGCAAATTAAGTCTCACATCTGGGTAAGAAATCTATAGGGATTATTAGTAATTACTGACAACATTTCTAGACACAGGAAAAAAAGTTCCTTACTATTTTTTTCAAGTGTTGATTTATTGCTGTGGCTTTGAGTAACTAGTTATTTCAGCATCATCTGCAACTAGTTAACTCTAAAATGGTACTAACAAGGCCAAATTCCCTTCAGACTACTTAACTTCATAATCTCCCATGGTCCTAAATGTATTCAACCTGATGGAAAATGCATGTCACAAGGGAACCAAGTAAGAGATTAAGGATAAAAACTTACTGGAGAAGGGGGCCCCATCAAACTACATGAGAAGTAAGAAGTAATAAAATCACATGTTTTTTAAAAGCACATTTTCTTACCATTGTTAACACTAATTAACATTACTAGTTGATACTGATAACTTGTATTACTATTAATTAGTATTACTAAAAATAATTTATATTGATACTTCAGAATAATAACAATAATACCAAAGCATATTTCATGTATGGTACATCTCTTTCAATATTTGTCACATATGCCTGGAAAGTATTCAACCATGTAGTATGAAAAACAGGCATTTATTAAAGAAAATACAAGATACAAGAAACATTGTATACAGGATAATGATGCCTCAGTCCTCTTCAAAGTAGGCACCTTATAACCTCACACAGTTCTCCTAATCACCATCAGCTGCCCCATTGTATTTTCCTGAATCTCATGGATGGTCTGAAATCCCTTTCCTTTCAAAAGTGATTTAAGTTTAGGGAAAAGCCAGAAGTTGCAGGGTGGTGAATCTGGGCTATATGGGGAGCTGAGTCACTTGGGTGACTTGATGTTTCACAAAAAAAACTTCATGAGATGTGATGCATGAGTGGGCACGTTGTCATGATGACGCTGCCAATCACCAGTTGCCCATAGCTGCGGGATTCTGAATTATTCAAACAGTTTCCATGGAAGAATGTTTAAGCTTAATGCAAAATTTGATACAGATTTGTTGTTCTACTCGCTCAGCCATTTTGAATGTGACAGCCACACAGTACACATGTCACTCAACAGTCTACTCCCCCCACTGATTAGTGCAGGGAAGTCATCATTGTTCACACATGCACATTCCAGTCCACTCTCCTTGGCTGCCAGGTCACACTGATGTTTTGCAAACCATTCTTGTTATGTTAACAATGGTTGAATTTTTCCAGACAAACTTTGTAAAACGTAACACTTAGATAAGTATACTGTGGGCCAGTGAATTCTACTATAGAAGTGACCACCAAAACAGAATTTGAGCCAATGATTGATTATATATAATACAGCTGCTTTCTATGAGGTGAGAACAAACATATATGAACTATGAGTACATTTCCTGTAGTCTGTCAACATGAAATAGATAACACTCCTCTAATAATAAATTACAACCCTAACTCATTTCAATGGAAGGCAGCTATGCTCACCACTATACCACCAGTGCTGCACCCTGACTCATATGAATGGAATTTACTTGAAGCACCTACTCACAATCAGAAAACTTGCTTTTTCAAAATATTCAGTCTTCTCTTTTAGACTGCTTTTTCTTATAGCTAAAGGCCAGTGAAATGATATGACATGGTCATTTCATAAAGAAAAGTGAGGAAAAAACACTATATCCTACTTCTGGGACATTTACTTGTTCTTTTTAAAACATGTGACTCTACTTTCAAGTTGTTATTGATGTCACTGCCTTTGCTTCTGCATGAAGTTGTGTAATTATATTTAAATATTTCACCCTGCCATTCATCTTAACAAGCACAATTACACTGGCCTGTAATTGTGAAGAATTACACAATTCTTTCATTTCCTTCAAAACTAAGAAGTAATCAACAGAAGTATAAAATGTTGACTTCAATTTATGGCGCTGCTTCTTAATAAACATTTATTGAATAAATAAGTGAAGCTGGATGGTCACTCTGGTGCTTCCCAACCTTCTCCTTTCATGGCACACATGAAAAATAATGTGTATAAGGATGCTGGGGTAAGAAAAAAAAAGAGCCAGGTGACCAGAAACTACCAGCTAAGGGTATCTGGCACCCTAAACTTACACAACTACCTGGCTACCTGAAAGCTGAAAGGTGGAGGAATAATGGTAGCACAACTGAAATACCTGAAACTCATTTGTAGCTTTTCAGTGTCCCCAAAAGGCTAACTAAGAAATTCTTCTCCACATTTTTTCCTATTTTGCATACTGTTACTTAAAAAAAAAAACCTGGAAACTACTTTTCCTTTAGCAACTCATCCCTCCCTGGTTCTACATGATCCTGGTGGTGTAGATAACTTCAGGACCCTGACACTTCATCCATCTCCATTCTACTCAGGACAATCAATTAAAGTGATCCATTATCTTGCTATCATGGTTGATCCAATGTGGGTATGTGACCCAGGCAAAGCCAATCCAAAATCTCTACCATTCTCTTCCTTGTGGATTGTGAATACCAGGTTATAAGGCTTCGGACTTCCACCAGTTCCCAGAGGAAATAAACTTTGAAATGAATACACAGTCTAGATCATGGCTATTCTAAATTTTAGAATGAATAAAAAGTTTAGGACAGATGGGTTTCTATTACTTGTAACCAAAACTATCACGCGGCAATGATTCATTCACATTGGACAGCTATTGTCGGGCTGGCTGTCGTCATTTTTTTATTTGACAATCTAAGGGAAAAGAGGTCAGTGCCCTTGGCTACACAGTCAGGTATTCCATGTTTTAAAAATTCAGCCACTGCACATTGGCTGACAATCGCTGCTCTAGAATTTCAAAGACTCAGTGAATTTCCTGAGTATCAACACACATGTGCATTGTATGCAATACATATTTTACATCAGCAGCATACACAGGTCAGGTAACCTACTGTGGAACTTCTTTAGATAATCTCCAGACATTATCTAGGTGATAACTATTCTAAGGGGATTATTCTACAGAGTGTCAACACTGAAAGAAAACATTTGGGTAGAAGCAAGATCATTAGGGAAGGTGAAGGGAGAAATAAAGTAGGAAGCAAGTTGAAATGAGTCCCGTTATACAAACGAAACACCATGGGCAAAGGTACTTTGAGTACATTACAGACCCACTTGCAGAATCAGACCAGAAGAGGTCTGGTCACAAAGAAAACTCTTTGTGAGGCAGCAGCAGTTATTTCTTTGATGAAAATGGATTCCACACACATTGATTTCATATCTTAAGCATTTATCCACCTTCAGTACCAAATTTTTTCCTGTAGGAACACATAATTTGCCATAAAGAGATGGACTCTTTCCCCATTGTCTTAAAAAGAATTACAAGCACAGGTATTAATAAACAGAAAATAATAAAAACACCATACCTCCTTGGTTAGGAAAACTCCTTCACAAGAAAAACATTCTACAGATCCCATCCAAGGAAAAAAAAAATTAGAATACTATGCTAAATATATGGTTAATTTAAAGAGGGGGAGTCTTATTAATATCTAAATGTTCTCTTATTACACTACAAGTTCTGTGTAGATAGCAATAATAACTATCCTCACATCCCAGCATGTTGATTAATACCATAGATAGCAAAAACCCAATGTTTTTAGTTTATCAAATGACTAAATAAAGATAGAATGAAATTTCCAACAAATTAAGAAGAGGTTAATGCCCATCATATAGGCACCTTTAAACTCAATTAATTATTTTGCATCTACCCAAGAGATATGCATTTTGGAATAGGATGCACAAGTAACAAAAGAGTTACAAATTCACAAATCCACCAACAAATAAAAACACCAGAATAGCATCATGTGCAAATTTCCTTGCAAAATATGCTTTCATTAAAGATCTTTTACATCACTAAGTTCATATAATTCAGAGCAAGCAGAAAAAAACAACAAATTGGGAAAATAAGAATAGCAGAAAAGTAAAGAAGAAAAAAATCAACCCATAATTTAAAAATGATAAAAATCATCCACAAAGTAAGAATAATCTATAATTCCAGTAGTTAAGCTTTAACCCCCATAACTGCTACATTATTTCCTTTCATTACCTGAGAAGAATCTGCTTGGGCTAATTTTGTAGTGACCTTCAGTATTTGGCGAAGATTCTGTCCTTTATTTTCAACAAGGAGGTAAACCAGCAGAAGAAAAACATGCTCAGGAATCACAGTAGTAATAGGGAGCAAAGACTCTACTGAAGCCAACCAGTCAGTCACTGCAGACTCTTCACTCATTACTTCAAGGATCCTCCAGGCTGTACATACTGAAGCATATGTGCTGGTTATGGGAAACACAAGCTTGTAGGACAGCTGAAAAATAAATGCAAAAATGGCATGAGTAAAATGAGGTAAATGTATCAGTCAGAAATATATTTGACATTCATTTATATTTTACATTTCATTGTAAGAAATAAATCCTTCCAACAAAACGAATACAGAATTTTCAATGCCTGCCCCAACCTTCTGCGCGTATTTGAGCTAAAAGAATTACACAAAAAGAAAACAGTTGTTACAAGGAACTCTAGAACAGTTTATCACTACTTTTCCTCTTGTTTACCATTTGCTCCCAGTTAAGGCAGGGGAAAAAAAAAGAAATCAAATAAGATCCAGAGGCAAAACAATTTGGAAAAGTCATTATCACTAAGAAAGTATTCTCTAGTTAGAGGGAACATAGGAAACAAAAATAAAAACACTGCATTTGCCCAGCTCCACAGACCCTGGCAAGAGGCAGCCCTGGGCAAATGGCAAACTTGGACTGAGAACAATTTATTTTTATAATAGACAGTACGTTGACAGGAACAGAGTTGAGTCAGCTGGAGCCTGGGAATTCATTTATAATTGTGAATAACTTCTGCAATAAGAAATAACCTGACAGTTCTAAACTGAAATGACACCCAAAGATGATGTTATACTTAAGTCAATCTGAAGTGGCTCCTCAGAAATAAAACAGCACGGTCAGGGACAGAGAATGGACAGAACTCTGCCAAAGTGAGCTGTGTACCCAAATGGCTCAGGAGAAGCCACAGACATAAGGAAGCATTAGATACAGCCTGTTAATAAAACAATTTAATTAAGAGTATAATTAGATACAAATTAGAAATCTCTAGATTATAACTGTCCTGATATTGGAGACTGACTTATAGAGACAAGGATAATAACTGAAAGGATAGGAAGTAAAAGTTATGCTTTATAAGTTTTTTAAGTAACAGTTTTATTGAGATATAATTCAAAATCCATGCTTTTGAAGTTAACAGCTCAATGGATTTTAGTAATTCATAGAACTGTGTAACCATCATCAATATCTAACTTTAGAACATTTTCTTCATTCCAAAATGAAACACCATACCCATTTACAACCACTCTGCATTCACCCTGATCCCCCACACCCTGGCAAACACAATCCATTTTCTGTTCCTCTTCTGGTTATTTTGTATATAGAAACCACGTAGTATGTGGTGTTTTTTGACTGGCTTATTTGGCATCTTTTCATCCATGTTGTAGCTGGCATCAATACCTCATTTCACTGTCAATTATTTTATTGTACAGATGTACAATTTTTATTAATTCATCACTTAATGAACATTAGGATTATTTCTGCTTTTTGGTTATGAATAACACTGATATAAATATTCCTATAAAAGTTTTTGTGAGGCCATAGGTCCTAAATATCTTGAGTGTCCACTTATGAGTGGAGATAATATATATTTTAAAGTAAATACCACTGTAAAAACAAATGAGGAAGCTCTATCCTTACTGATATGGAAAGATCTTCCACATGAAAATACAAGATACAGATAGTATGCCTGAAATACTGCCAATTATTTGTTGGGAAGGGGGGATTGGAAAAGTACCTAGGCAAATTAAAAAGCAATTAACATGCACTAATTTTCATTTCTTTTTTAAAGATTTTATTTATTTATTTATTGTTAGAGAGAAGGGAAGGGAGAGAGAGAGGGAGAGAAACATCAATGTGTGGTTGCCCCCCACTGGGGACCTGGCCTGCAACCCAGGCATGTGCCCTGACTGGGAATCAAACTTGCAACCTTTTAGTTCATAGGCCCACACTCAATCCACTGAGCTACACCAGCCAGGGCCCTAATTTTCATTTTCTTTTGGAGAGGGTGGAATTGACAAGGTGGGAACTGGACAACCAAGATCAAGGATGAGAAGGAGACTACTCATTGTATACCTTTTTATAAGCTTTGAACCATTTTTATGTATTATAATTTATTAAAATTATAATTTTTAAAATTAAATATGTAAATTTTAAAAAAATGTTTTATTTCTTTATTTTTAGAGAGAGTGCAAGGGAAAGAGAAAGACAAGGAGAGAAGCATCAATGTGTGGTTGCCTCTCACATGGTCCCTACTAGGGACCTGGCCTGCAACCCAGGCATATGCCCTGACTGGGAATCAAACCAGCAACCCTTTGGTTCACAGTCCACACTCAATCCACTGAGCTGCACCAGCCAAGGCTAAATACCTAAATTTATTATAACTCTCTCTCTCTAAAAGTACTTTTTTTTTCCTAAAATGAAATTCATTAAAGACTAGAGTCAATTTCTTTAGACTAATAACAAACAGCACTGAACTTGAGATTTAAAAGACAAGGATTTCAGCACAGCCATGGCAACTATTAGCTGTTACACAATCTGTGAGGGGCAGACTTTTTTCATTTGTAAAATAGAAGTTATGACTATCTTCTTGCAAGATTACTGAGGTAGATAATGAGATGATATGCATCAAGCACCTAGCACAGTACCTAAAGTTGCAAAATACAGGGAAATACTATCAGTGTCATCTTTAGGAGAGAAAAATAAAACTGGTAGATAAGGAATAAAAGAAAATAATTGGAAATCACCATGAACCATAAATTAAGTCAAAAGTAGCAATATTACACAGACACGTATCAATAAAAACACTGAAACAGAAAAGAAATCCTACTTTACTTGAACTGTTATGTCCAGGTTTAGGCTCTGTTTCCTGTTTGCTTGCCTTAAGTTAGAGTAGCAGGAGAAAGGCACAGTGTTGGAGTAAGATATCATGGGACAGTCTCTCTGGTCCAATGAGGGATGGGTAGAGTTCCCCAGCACAGTCCCAGGGCAAGGATGCAACAAAGGGTTTTCTCTCAGCACCAGCTGCCAAATCCTGGCCCTCCCAGCCTGTGGGAGTTAGGCTATGTTTTAGAGCAGAGAGTGGGTGTTTACAAATAAGAGATGCTTATGTTTTAGATATACTATATCTCAATAAAAAAATAAAAGAAAAACCATACAAAAATAGCATTTCAATGACTATTAAATGGTTATAGTAAAACATCCTTTATGGATGTAAAAATGAATCTTTATTTTAAAAAGCTTTTAGTAAAAATATTCAGGTAATATCAACAATAAGCCAGACATCCATAGCAGTACATTGTCTAAAAAGGTCTGAAAAAGAAATTGTGAGTACAGGTGAACAATACAGATTTTCATTAACTTTAAAGAATAATACTCATCTATCATAGTAACTAAAACAGGCTTAACAAAAGTGGAGCCAGGAGTTGATCAGGAGAAGGGGTACGGAAACTCAAACCTGGAGGCCTTTAAGATAGGTTTTGTTAGAAGAGATTTAATCACTCAGGAGACCAGAAACAGAAGACTGGATTAGATTAAAGCCTGAAGTGGGTCTTTCTGCTGTCAGCCTTTATGAAGAATCTACTCAAGAGTTGAGAGGCTTGGGGGTAGCTGATTACTACCAAATGATAACCCACACCATCCTCTGTATCCATGCTAATCAGAACATAAAGATAGAAGAGTAAGATCTAAGATTTACTAATTCCTTTTAACTTTCAATTAAAAACTTTCAAGAAACCAGTTTACTTCAACTTACTACTGATTTACTAGTTCCCTGTAACTCCTGTTATTTACTAATGAATAATTCTTTGTATTGAATTTTCCTTTGTTCAAATTACCAGAGTGGTTTCTGCCTCCTGACTGAACCCTGACTCAAACACTGGTGCATTCTCACCCTACCCACCTCTGCCACATTCTCTGGGGGCAACGGCAGCAAGATGTTAAACACTTTAGAACTTACAACTAGTGTTTGTTTTTTTTTAACCTAGGAGAACACAAATAGCCTAATAGAAAAGGATCCTGTTTCCCATACAGTACTCAAAAATGTTAAGTTTATTAGATTATATTAACGTTTTATTTTAAAGAGATGAATGCCTAGTTTGGTATCTTACATTTTTTAATTCTTAGAAGTAGAAAGAAATAAAATGTGTTTTATTTCATGGTTATCAACACTTCAGACACAGGACAGGCAATCCAGAACTGCGTGGCACAGGGTACACACCCTTGCTTTCATTCACCAGAAGAACTCGGCTTCTAGAGAACTGCTCTAGCTCTAAACCAAACACTCGAAATTGGAGTCACCAATCTATAGTGAACTAATAAAAACAAAAACAACCATGGTATTTCCATAATAAATCAAGATGGTAAAATTATCTTATCAGAAGCACACATTGCTCTCTGAACAGAAATTTACTGAATGTCTACCATGTGCTAAACAATGGGTCAGACGTAAAGGATGCCAAGATTGGCTAGGATGTTACCTATTCGAGTATGTGGAAAATACTAAAGTAATTTAACAACTAGCTAAAATATTTTTGATTCTCTCATCTATGGTCAGCTAAAAAAGATAAAGCAGAAATATTTTGAGTGGGAAAAAATATAAAAAATTTCAACAATTGTTGCAATTTAAATATTAGCATACTTGGAAAATAAAGGCAAAGCATGAAAAGGGCCAAGATTCTTTCCCTCAGTGAGCTCACAGAATAGTTGGAGGTACAAATCTGTAACCCCCTAAATTAAACAAAACATTACTTAGTGAAGTGCTATGGATGCAAAGAAGAGTAATTAGTTCTTTCTCAGGGAGGCTGAGAACTTTTAGATGGGTCTTAAAGGATGAATAGGTTAGGCAAAGATCCTGGAAAAACCTTGGCGAGTTTGGAGCATGTTAAATCTATAAGTATGTTTGGAATACAGAGTCCAGGACAGGTGCAGAAGAAAAGCCAAAAGGCTTAAATTTTTTAAAAGGGTGATCATATATATACTCAAAGCACCACACTATCATCAGGAGGTGTTTATAGCTCTAATAGTATTCTTCCCTCCTCTGTCTCAGCCAGCTGCTGAAGAGAAAGCCTCACTATTAGTGTTGATAAATAAGATTCACACACCTGAGCAAATAGTAAGCTGAGTACTTTAGTATTAGAGTTTGGGTGATCCTCAGTAAATATCACTTATGATTTAAAGGAACAGAACTCTTAAACATAGTACATCCCATCCTGCTCCCAGCCCCATTCAGAATCCAACCATTGTTCTGCATGGGCAAGTCAAAAGGGAAGGTAAAAAGCTACTAGAAAATTTTGGTTACATTTTGCACTCCCATTAGGGTAGATGTAAGAACTGCCTTCTTTTAATACAAAACAATTACATATTTCAAGTTTTAAAGATTCAGTCAAACAATAAGAATTTAGGAAGCTATAGGATACATTCAATTTGCCTATAGGCTAGTTTCTGCTACATGATCTAACACAGAATGACAATGCCTGGATTTCTGCTGCTAGGACATTTAACAATACTAGAGGTATCTGCTTTTACAGATGGAACAACTATGGCCCTAGTTTGCATTTATGTAATTTCTCTCTCCATGGAGACTTAGATGCTTCAACAGTTTTATCTTATTGTACCCTCATTCAATCCCCATAAAAGTAATAGTTGGGAAGTAATAAGTTTCACTGAAGACAAACTGAAATAGCAAAAGAGAGAAGGTCTGACAAATATAGGCCTAGAACCCAGCCATTATCCAGACACTCACAACACAATAATATACAAAGGAACAGGAACAGTGAGACTGACAAGGTGGAATGAGCAGGAAGAGGAAAGGAGTGTGACCGGCCTGCCATCATCCCACTGAAGGCAGCAGAGCACACAGGAGACACCAACAACCAGTATGTTAGGGAATGTGGTCCAAGGTGTCATATTCAAAACTGAAGTCTTAGTTCTTACAGATCCCAGAACGTCAGAGAGATTTCCCACCTCGGACTATCCCAGATCCAGCAATATGCTGCCCTTACTAAACAGTATGATTAGAAAAAAAAAGCAGTCCATGCTCAAGTAAGTGGGAGAAGCACTGGGTGAAATAGAACTAGTTGCTTTCCTGCAGGATTACTCAGGACCTTTAGTTACTAATGTACACTGGAAAATCAAAGAGTAAAAAAGATTATACAACATCTCTACCCTGGCCAGTGTGGTTCAGTCGGTTGGAGCCTTATCCTGTAACTGAAAGGTCGCAGGACCGATTGCCGGTCAGGGCACAGGCCTAGGCTAAGGGTTCAGTCCCTGGTCAGGGTGCATGCAAGAGGTAACCTATCAATATTTCTCTCCCCCTCTCTCTTCCTCCTTTTCCTCTCTCTCTAAAATATCAATAAAGCATGTCCCCAGTGAGGATAAAATTATATAGCATTTCCAAAACTTATTTTACAATAGGATTATCCTTCCTTCTCACTATCCAGAAAAATATACTAACATGGACAAAACTGCCTGTCTGACAATACAGTAAGTTCACAAAGACAGTTTAAACCCAAACACATACTTCATCAGAAGGTGAGGTTATCTGCAGAGACCTATAAACCCTGCATTACCAGTTTACCTTTATTTAAGGAAACCAAGGATGAACTTCATTACCTTTTGGTGGTCGACTCTATAGCACTCCTGCTGTACTGTTTCCAAAAGTTTTAGGGCCAACTGCTGCCTCGAGGGACCGTCTTCATCCACGGATATGCAGTCTTCCAAGGCAGTAGAAGATAATATCTGCAGAACTGGCATTATTAGCAGCGAGGATGACTTTGGAATTTTCTGACCCTCAGCAAAAGAGAGGAGCTTCAAAGCTATTTATCAAAACAACAATTCATGTTTTTAAAAATTAGTACCACAGCCAAACAAAACGATATTTTATTAAAGGGTGATATGCAAGAAGTTTTCTTAGCCCTTTATAACTGGGTCAGGCATATAAATAAAATGAGAAATCTTATCTTTTTAGAAATAAAAGGAACATAAAAATTAACTAGCATCTAAAACAATCTGTTTCTGTATACAAGTGAAAACCTGATGATATTCTTAGAAAAAAATATGTATCATATATCATAAAGTATAAATCAACTCTTTTTTTGGTCAATACAAATTTCTTTAAAATACAGTTCAACTTTCATCCCTGTTCTGTCAGATCCTTCCACCGCCTTCGACAGAGCCAAGAGACCACAGAGTTTCCAGTCAGTGGATAGCGAGACTGATGTATGTGCTTCCCTTACAAGCCCAACTGAGAATTATATGACGAGATTAGTAAATAAACAAGCTGAAGCAGGGTTATCTTTCCACTTCAATTACTAAGAAGCAAATCAGGAAAGTCTCAAAGTTCATGAACAGCATAACAGTCAAACCCAATTTTACGAATGATTTTTTTTAATATGGAAACTCAACTTCCACATCAGAACCAATATGAGCAAATGTATGATGACTTAGTTAAATGTATGGTCTCCCCTAGACAGAATGAGTTAAAGCATAAATGAACTTTTTTCATGGTTATCAAATGGACCCTGATTTACTGAGTGATGTTATTCATAGACTTCCAAGCTATAATTATCAAAGCAATGAACTGATATGCCCACTACAAAACAAAAAATTCTACAAACCTTAAATCATGTGAGTTGCCAGCATTTGTTATTAAACCACCTGGAAGTCAAACCTGAATATGGTATGAAGTACAAATACAGTATGATATACTTCATAGTGTACATCAGTTTCTCTGCTTCTCTAACACTATTTACATTTTTCCCTAAATATTAGTTTTAATACATAATCGTCTCTGAGACATCATGAAAATTCATTATGTTTAACAAACCAGGAAATGCATATAATACAAATATTTATATATTTTATATTATAAATCTTCCAGGCACTTGTATAAATTTATAGTCAAGGCTGGGGATAATAATTAAGAGGCATAATACTATTTATGCAGTACATTTTTAAAATTTGAACTAATCAATATACTTTTGGTTATTCTACTTCTTTAAATACTTGTCCCCAAAATAGTAAACAATAGTTCTTCCTTACTTTTCAACAAGACATGCTAGCTTAGTAATTTCCAATATGATTTATTCAATCTAACTAAATTAACTTCCAACTACAGACACAGGCTTATAAGACAAAAACTCTGATATCCAGCAAATCAACACGTTGGGAGTGTTTGGGCCTGTAGCATCCTGTTACACATGAAACACAACAAGAGTGTAGCTTCAGAATTAAAAATGGGCTTCCCTACAGCTTTGAAATTTCTTTTTGTCAAAAAAGAAAATCTATTTATATGAAATATTCACAAAAAGCAAGTTTATATAGGCAGAAGGCACATCAGTGCTTGTCTGGGGCAGAGGGTGGGACTGAGGATTAACTGTGAGTGGGCACAGACATATGCAAGGGGGGAGGTGATGGCAATGTTTGAAAACTAAATTGTGGTTCTGGTGGCATAACTCTGTAAACTTAGTGAAAGGACACTTTATCCTACAGTTAAAATGGTAAAAATCATGGTAAATAAATAACATCTCAATAAAGCTGTTTAAAAACCTACTGCTATCAGAAGCAGCAGCACTAGGAAACTACACACATGGGAGGATGCCACATGCTCTGTTACAAGAAACAAAAGGACGAGTGAGGAAGGCACAAACGAGCATTAAGTCCCACAGGCAAAGCAGGGTAGAAACCAATCAAACCCCAAGAGCCAAGGGTCCTCTTCCACATGCTGAAGCCGTTACCAATGTAGACTCTACATGCAAGAGCAATTCACCCTCAAAATCATAATGAATTAAAATGCCCAGAATAATAAACTATACAATCGGCAATTACCTCAAGCACATTTTTAAAATGAGGGTGGGAATGTATCAATGTATCATACCACTATACAACATAATTTAAATTTTTTTTATTTTATTGATTTTAAAGAGAGGGAAAGGGGATAGTGAAGAGAGAGATCAATTTGTTGATCCACTTTTTTATGCATTCATTGGTTGTTTCTTGTATGGGCCCTGACAAGAGATTGAACCTACAACCTTAGTGTATCAAGATGAAACTCTAACCTAACCAACTAAGCCACCCTGCCAGGGCTTCTATATAACATAATTTAGACAGAGTATCCAATACCACACAGACTATACTGGACCAAATAAAGCCAGGCAACTTTAATGTAAAAGCTGCATTTAAAGGTGTGACTTACTTGCTAATCTGCCACCTTGATTCTTTACCACATTATTCTTAAATGGAACATTTTTGCCTCCCTTTAGCCCCATTCCTCACTTTTCTTCAGATCACACTGGACAGTCAGAAGAATGTTATCTTTCATGTGTTCTAGCTAACTTAATACAATAACCATAAATTAAATCTTGTCCAATGTGGCAAGAGTTTTGAATAGTAAAGCTACATACTTTTAAAAAACAAATACAAATGTTAAATGTTTCTTTTGTTTCAAGGGCTTTATGCTATTGATTCTGAGTATGTTGTACAACTGTTAATAGGTGATATGTCCTTTAATATATTCATGGATGTCATTGCTACATGATTCAGACTATAATGCCCTAACAAACAGCCAAAATACTTAGTAGGTTCTGACACATAGAACCCTATTAGACAAGAAAAAGAAGGCCTAGTTGATAATGACTAATTCAAAACTTCCAGAACAGAAACTCAAAATACATAGGATTTTATATCATAACAGGATATACACAGGTCAAGTGACTACTGTCAACACTCAGGTTACATTTACTTTTTACTCTAATGAGTATACGTTTATTTACCGAAACTTAAGACGGGCTTCTGCTGACTTGCTGGAGTCTGTAGAAGCAGTAAAGCTAGTCCAATTATGACCAGTTCAACAGGAAAATCCTACAGAAGAAAACAAAAAGAGCTGTTAAGAGGCCCAGAGCCATGGCTTTATAACATGTATCCAGGGAGAGTATATTCAACAGGAAAGATTATAAACCTATTACAGTCGTCCTCCATACCTGTGGGCTCCGTATTCACAGATTCAACCAACTACAAATTAAAAATGTCTTTTAAAAAATGTTACATTGTTGTTGACATTTACTATGTACTTAAGACCTACAATGGTTGCACCTGTACCCAATAGGTACAGACTTTTTTCCTTGTCATTATTCTCTATTATTCCCTAAGCAATACATTATAACAACTATTTACATAGCATTTACATTGTACTAGGTATTATAAGTAGTCTAGAGATGATTTAAGGTATATAGGAGGATGTGCATACACTATCTGCAGAAACGATGTTATTTTATGTAAGAAACTTGAGCATCACTAAGGTTAGTATCCACAGGGGTCCTGGAACCAATCCTCCAAGGATACCAAGGGAGACTGTATGCAAAATACCTACAGTAAGCCTGCTCTACTAAAGGAAGAATTGGTGAATGCCTAAGAAGTCATACATAAATTTCAAACCTTATCATATCTGAACAAAAAGCAATAGGCTAAAAAAAAATTAGAGGAATAATACCTTAACACAATAGATCTGCAAGTTTTGAAAACAGAATCTTTGCAAGCCACTGAAAACTACCTGAAATCCTTAATTTAAGAATATTTCATTTCTGAAAAGTAGCTCAGTTGTCTACTTACCTAATACAGATATGATTCATCTACATAATTTGCATAATGAATTACACTAAACAAATTTTAATAAATCATATCATAATAAAGGAAACATTAGTACCCAGAGAGGCAGAGATTATTTATAAATTACAGTAATTTATTAAGCATATTTAAATGCAGCAAAGCAATAACCATAGAAAGTTAAAATTATTAATTTCACTAAGTTTTCGAACAAAATGAAAAAGAGAAGGATATACACATTAAGTTCCAATAAATAAGATGCAAATGACATTAGATGTTATTTGAGTATTCTAAATACAGAGAAGATTAGTGTATTATGGAACTAAAGAAGAAAGGTCCACCATATGTTGCTAAAATTACTTCATTCTGAAATTTCACAGAAGTGCCTACAAAAGAGAAATACCTATAAATCATAAGGATAGGCAAAGAGAATAAAATGGATATGTGAGGTAGAGCCACATTAAGGAAACACTTGAAAGAAAACAGTCTGAGCCATTCAGAAGTTATAATCTTGGAGATGCTATCAACTCTGGCACGAATTAATAAATATATATCTATAAATCTGGGTTATACATTTTAAAAGGTGAAATTAACCCTGACTGGTATAGCTCAGTGGATTGAGTGCCAGCCTGTGAACCAAAGGGTCACCAGTTTGATTCCCAGTCAGGGCACATTGTCTGAGCTGCAGGTCAGGCCCCCAGTAGGGGGCACATGAGAGGCAACCCTACATTGATGTTTCTTTCCCTCTCTTTCTCCCTCCCTTCTAAAAATAAGTAAAATCTTTTTTTAAAAAAAGGTGAAATTAATCAAACTGCAAAATCTTCTAAAGTGTTTGTTTATGAACTTCAAAAACCCAGCTAAAGAGAAAATTTAATTTGTGAGTATTCTTGAATGAAATATATTCTAATTTGTGTTTTTTGCATCTTTATATAGTCATTATTTTAAAATACCATCAACAACCATGAAGCAACTGTTACCTATTTGAGGACAATAAATGCATTTTGAAACAAATACACTTATAGTATATACCATCACACTATTCTTTCCCATTATCTTTTCCTCAATTTCATTTCAAACTCTGCAAGTGCATAAGAAAACAAAAAGAAAACCAGCACAGGAATTTAAATTTCAAACTTAGTGGCTACCAAGAGAATCAGACACAGAAGTATTACTGTATGCTAATGCTATCACTGGAAAGCCTTTTCACACAAGCTGTCACTGAAAGGGTCATAGTGTAGCTTTTCAGTGTTCTTCAGTGGCCTAGAAGCATTTTAAGTGGATGGGACTTAAAGGTATGAAGGCATAAACAAGACTAGCCTGTTCAGAACAGAGGGTGAAAGGAAAATAGCTGGAGATTCAAGACATCAAAAATAAGGAAAAGTAATTGTGGAGGATTAAACTAAATAATCTTAAACTACTTACACTTCTGAGAGGTTACAAGATTTTTGTTTGATTTTTTCTCTATTTTTTATATACCTGTATCAAAATTTTTTAAGCTTTTATTTATTTATTTTTAGAGAGAGGGAAAAGGAGGGAGAAAGGGAGGGAGAGAAACATCAATGTGTAGTTGCCTCTCTCGTGGCCTCCACTGGGGACCTGGCTTGCAACCCTGGCACATGCCCTGACTGGGAATCAAACCAGTGACCCTTTGTTTCACAGCCCACGCTCAATACACTAAGCTACACCAGCCAGGGCATGTATTAAAATTTTTATCAGGTACAATTCTGTTAATTATAGACTACGAATAATATAAGTTTTTGGTGTACAGTAGGAATAGGTTAAGTGTGGATCCTTCCTTGCTCCTTAAGGCAGGAGAAAGATCCTCCAATGGGTGATTTTTTTTATTGTTGACACTATCACATGTGATTGATTGATTTTTGATGGACACCAAAAATGGTACCATTTCATGAGATCTTTTAATAAAAGCCTGTGTTGGACATGACATGTGCCAATTCAAATACTACAGCCACTGCTGTAGTTACTCTTGCTCCTTGCCCCAGATCAGTAAGAGATGCAGAAGCACAGGGAAGTTAAAGCCCCACAGGCCAAAGTTTGAGAACTGGGCAAGAGAAGCCCAAGGACAAATATCTCCCCCTTCCTTCAGGAAGATTCTGAGATATACTTTCTACTTCTCAGAATATTCTGTGGGATGGAGCAACTGGTTGCTTGTAGCAGTGGCCAAACTGATAATACAGTTAAACCTCAGTTCTCATATGCCTCAGTTCTGGAACAATTCAATTCTCAGCCAAGTTGTGCATAGAAAAAAATATCTCAGTCGTCCAACAAAACTTCACTTTCTGATTCTCCACCCAATAACCCCCTCATGTTAATACCTATATAATCAGTCACGCATCTCTCAGGCAATAAACAAAGACATTCAGTATTTGAACAAACTACTTCTCCAACAGTTTTCCAGAATGAAGTTTGAGAACTGAGGTTCTGCTGTATTTGTGTTGCCTCTGCCATGGTCAATATTTCACTGTTCTTGTCCCTCTCCCACCTGCTTCCTGTGATCACACTTGCAAATGAACTCCTGCCCCATCATCCCCAGCTTTGTGGAAATGTATGTAATGGGGTACATTAGACCAGAGATTGCCAGAAACTCAGGCAAGGGACCCCAATTCGAGCAGGGTGCCCCAGATAAGGTTAGGGCCAGCTACCTCCCACTCAGAAGGAAGGGAGCTGCAAAAGTGCTGGTTAGGAGGCACTCATGGGGGCAGATTAAAATAGCAACCATGAGCTGAGGGGGCTAGATGCTGCCAGACAAAGAGAGACCTGTGTGTGGCTGAGGAACTTTTGCCCTCACTAAAGATGGCAGCAAAACAGAGTCAAAGAAGCTAGGTTTTTCACTACATATAGAATGGGGCAAAAGTAAGTTTACGGTTATTCATATGGAAAATAATACAATAATTAATAATACAAGAATAAACTGTTTTGCATGCTCACAACTGTAAACTTACTTTTGCCTCGCCCTCTATACTTCAAGGAAAAAAAGTAAGGGAGGGCATGGAAGGGGACACCTTTAGTATAAAAGATACCTAAAAGATCATGCATGCCAAAACTATACTATGTGTAGGCACACACATTTAGGTGTTAAAACTATTTTAAACATGTAAGAAAGATATTCCTACAGAAGTCAGGGTGGTCAGGGGACAGAGGTGGCTGTGATTAATGTAACAGGATGCAGAGCTGGGGGGCGAGTCCCAAAAAGAGCAAAGCATATTTACCGTAGCCCATGGTGGGGAATGGGGAAGGACATGATACAGCATTAAGATATTTTTTATAACAAAAGGCAAGTTAATCATTGTGCTGCTGCCCCGGGAGAAATGTGGACATGATTCTAAGAGCATTCACTGACTTGTGACATAGCCAGGGCAGTTGGCTCACCCGGATGTCCTGTATCATGAGGTACTCTTGCCCTGACTAAAGATGGCAGCCAAACAAAGGTAAAAAGATTCAGGGAACTGGCAAAAACAGCTCATTGTAGGAGGGGCTGGATATCAGGTCACATATGAAGCTCTGGGTGAGCATTTAAAATAAGGGCAGGCAGCCATGAAATAGCAGCCATGAGGTTTAAAAGGATATAGAAGGGCCATCCCACCAGCCATGCGGACAGTAGTGAGTGGCAGCCATAAGGAAGGCAGCCAATAAGGGGGATTCAGCCAGGAGGTGTGGTGTGTAAGGAGGTGCCACTCAGTCTGGAGTAAGGAGATGCCATGTAGTTTTGGATTACAAGCTGGAGTAGGAAAGAGGAGACCTGATAGGAAACCTGCTTGGAGAACACAGAGGTAGAACTGATACAGCTGGGAATTACTGGAACCTGTCTCGCCATACCTGCATTAGTGGGAGATGCCTGGAATGCTAAACAGTGTACCAGGAATGCTGAGCCACGGACTTCTGCTTTTCTGAAAGATGGTACCTCTTACTGGTATATTCTGTAACTGGCCTGGTTTGGCAAAGTGGGGCAGGACTATGTGTTTTCTGGGTATTTTAAAGGGAGTGGGACTTAACGGAAGAAATCCACCATTACTATGAAACTGCATAACCTTTAAACAACCCTTTCCTTTTTTCCCAAACTTTTGCATCGGGAGTCACACTTTTTGGCAGCGGGCAATCAAACCCCACAGGTGTTCCAGAACAGCATAGGTGGCTTTCTGTAACATTTGGATGGAGCTTGTGGGAAACTTCTGTGGCAGCTCAAAAAGTTCAAACTCTGTGATACTTACTAGGGTGTTTGCCTTATATGTGGTGGGGGAAGTGGGGCATTACTTGTGAGGGTCTAGTTTAAAAACCAGATACTTAAGGCCCATTCAGCCCTGCTAATTCAGTATCTATAGAGGTAAGCCCCAGGCACTTGCATTTTAATAAACTCTGCCTAGTGATTTTTATGCACACTTGTTTGAACCATTTCACTGGAAGGTAAACTTCACAACTCTTATTTGTTTTCACCTAATTGCTTGTAGCAAAGTGTTTGCCATAGAAGCCTAACAAATATATACTAAATGTGTATGTGGGAGAGGGGCAGCTACACAATAAAATGGTCAGAGAATGATAGTAATTTTACAGTAACTCTACAAAATTATAATTGATATTATGTCCACTACTCAAATGAATCTAGGACAACCTAAAGAAAAATATGAGTTATAGTTAAAACACATAACTCCTAGTAATTTAGCCATATAATATTTATCCATTCAATATCTGTTTATATTTTTCTATGTATTTTCTATATATTATCATATACCTAATAGGTATAACTATGTATGATATAGTTACACAGGTATATAATATAGGTATAATTATATATCTAAATGTGATATGATATTATATATATTTATATAATATGTAATAGGTATTCTATAATATGACAGATATATATTACTATATATTAATGCATATTACCAGTATATATAATAGATAATACATGCAATACTACAACATAAATATATTATATAACAGTCTAAAATAGCATTATCTATAGAGTCCCAGCACATGTGAAATCACTGTAACCACAAGATTGACAAATTGACAAATGAATTATTTGAGCCTTCATCAATTCCCTCCTCTCATGAAAATCTCTCCATTTCCTTACCTGCCATTCACTCTCTTAACCCAGTTTGGTTGCTACCACCACCACTCCACTAAACCTGCTTCCTCCAATGTGAAGAATAAACTTCGGCTCGCTGAAGAGTATACTGACTTTATATCCTCTTACTTTAAATCCTCTCTCCATGCCACGGTTGACCATCCCCCTTTTTGAGATATCCCTTCCCTTCATTTTCATACCATCTGTATGAAAACATCCCTTCTGTTTGTCATACAATCTTCTAGCCACACTTTCCCAGATTCCTCTTCACCGGCACACTCCAAGTATCAACAGTGCCTGTGCAGCTGCAACACAAGCCTTGTCATGCAGTCCCTCAGTAAAACCCTTATCACAAAGTAAATATCTACAAATCTACACCTTTAGCTTAGGCTTCCATCCAGAATTTTAAAACCATGCAGCCAATAATTTATGATGCATACATACCTCAAACCAAGCACATCTCAAACCAAATTTATCATTTTCCCTCTAACACCAGCCACCATTTCCCAAAGTGAATGGCACTAACCTGTTGTACAAAATAGAAATCTCAAACTCTACCAAGGACCTCTCCTTCACCATCTAATCAACCACAAGGCCTATTGACTTAATCTGCTATATTTTTCTTTTCCCATTTTCATTTCCCTAATTAGCACCTTGCTATAAACTAAATTGTGTCCTTCTAACCCCAAATTCATTCGCTGAAGCCCTATCTGCCAATATAAGTGTTTGGAGTAAGGAACCAATTAAAGTTTAAATGAGATCATAACAGTGGGGCCTTTAACAGTCAGATTAGTGTCCTTTTAAGAAGAAACAATAGAAAATTCACTCCTGCTCTCTACCATGTGAGGACACAGCAAGACAGCATCTGTCTACACACCAAGAAGACAGCTTTTGCTAGGAATCAAATCAGCCAACATCCTGATCTTGAACTTTCTAGTCTCTAGAACTGGAAGGAAAAAACTCCATTGTTAAAGCTACCCAGTCTGTGGTATAGTGCTCTGGCAGCCCTGGCAGTCTAAGGCATCCCTCCTCCCTTCCTGCCCTGTGCGTGCTGCCCTTCTCTAAACCCCCCTCTACTCTACCATCAGAATGACCCTCCACACACAAAATATTAAGGCACCTGTCTGCATCCTCTTACCTACAAGATAAAATGCATACTCAAGTATTTTCTCCTATACCTGAATCCTTCAACAACACTCAACACCTTTTTGTTTTCTGAAGAGGCCATGCCTGCCCGCCTGCACGCCCTCTCATGTTTCCAAGTTTGGGCACATGCTGTTCCGGCAGCTGGAACACCTTCCCAGCCTCTGGGGTGTACTAGGGAAAGTCCCACTCAGACTTCTCAAATCTAAACCCATGCACTACTTTCCTTAATTGTGATCTTTAAATATATAAAAGCATTTACCTTATTGTTTTACAATTATTTGTTTACATGTCTGTAAGTCCCTTGAGATCACAATGTACCTTTTCATCTATATATTCTACAGGGTTTGGCATATAATAAATATTAATTACTTGTGTTCTATATGAATAAATGAAAAAATGCCAGAGTGGTAGATCCTTAACTGATGCTCTAAAGCAGGGGTGTCAAACTCATTTCCACCGGGGGCCACATCAGCCCCGTGGTTGCCTTCAAAGGGCCGACCGAATATAGAGCTCCTTGCCCCTAGTTAAGGAGTAGTTTAATTTATACAGTCCCAAAATTACATTCAGCCCTATGAAGCAACCACAAGGCTGATGTGGCCCCTGGTAAAAATAAGTTTGACACCCCTGCTCTAAAGAGTATTTAATGATTCATTTTTACAATAAGTAATAATAGTTGTGGTACATTAGTACTAGGATTTAATCATGTTAGAGCAACACACCTTTGATATAAAGGGCACATCCACCCAGCTCCTTTATAAAAGATCCACTTAAGTGATAAATGACATCAACATTTCTTACTATTCTTACCTCCTTCAGAAGTTCAACACTGTGTGCCAAAAGGTGAATTAACGATGAGCATTCCCCAGTTATCTTTAAGCTGACTTCACAGACACACAGCAGCTGAAGGGTCAGCTGGGTAAGCTGAATTTTCCAGAAAATAGGATGACGCAAAAGGCTTAAATATACTTCCTCGATAAACAGCATCACTTCTGTTGTCTGTATCAAATCTTTTATCTGTTTAAAAAAAGTCATTATATGATAATTACAATAATGTAAAAACCAAAGAATAATTTAAAGCTATACAAGAAACGTTAACAATAAAATATTTTTCTTGAAACCTATAAAGCCTTAGGAAGATGCAGAAATGTACAGAACTCAAATAGGGTTAAACTACACAACCTCGCCTTATTCTTTTGTCACTAAACAAAATACAACTTGTTATTGTTTTTATTACTGCTGTCTGGCACCAAGTGTTCTCACTAATTTTTCTAACTTCTCTAAGTACATATTTCTTAAGACAAATTACATAAGAATATCAACATTTTGAAGAAAATTAAATTTGGTTTTGAGTTCTCCAAATGAATTCTCTTTTCTACAATTGCAACGTAATTACCTGGTAGTGAAGGGTTAGCATGTTGGTCTAATGCACTACTAAGTCCTTCATCTGCCAAGGTATTTTCTCAGAAAACCTTAACTGAGAGCATCATTTCCATTCTTGGCAGGTGTGAGGAAAAGAGCATATTCAAATGGTAGGGTATCTTCTCAATGGGTATTAGGTAGGAAAGACTTGGATACTCTTGAAAAATCTCAATTCAATTCCAACCCAGCTGTTCTAATCAAAATTTGGGAGTTATTAAGGATATGGTCCTTCTAGCAGACACACTGGGATTTCCCAGAGATTACAAACAACAAACCATCTACTTCAATCAGGAGCCTGTGTTTGTCAAACTCATCAAGAGGAAAGCCTACACTTGATCAGCTGTACCTTTCACCAGTCACTACCAACATAATAACCCCAGATGACTATAAGTTTAACACAAAGAGAAAAATTAATTCCTAGCAAATAGGAGAAAAAAGATATAGTTAGATCAAGTGGGAGGATATAGCAGAAAACACCGTTATATAAAATAAGTGTGAAGGTTCAGTAAATATTTAGCTCTTTTCAAATATATAATGAGAGAGGCAAAGGGCTGTCAAGAAATAAAAGGGGATTTAAAATGAAGATAATCTTCATGTTTATTTGACATTTTGTGCATATTTCAAATTTTCCATAATAAAAGAAATTTTGAAAAGTAACCTCAGCAACTTATCACTAAAAAGGCTCTATAATCCTTACCATTACCAAAATTCTTAACAAGGACAGTTTTAAAGTAATGTTCTCTCTTTATGTAGAAATACACCACATACAATGCGTAACACACATAATGACAAGAATCATAATTACAAAGAAAGAACAACTGGGACCAAAGTCAATAGTAAAGCTTAAGACAGGTAAGTTCAAATAAAGATAATTCCAAAAAAATTAAATCGAAGGACAATTGGAATTAAAAGAAAAGGAAATAGGAGTTCTACTGACTGCCATCTGATCACAGGTCAATAGGGTGGTATCGCTATTTCAAAAAAAAATTAATTACTGCGATTCTCTGCAAGGGCTCAGTATAGGTCAATACTGTATTCAGCTCTAGGAAGAACATTTCATAGTAACACAATGTGAGCACCAATAGAGTAGAGAATTACTGCCAAAGGTCAGTGAAAAGTCTGGACACCATTTCATGTAGAGAAGTAAAGAAATTGATGAAGAAAGGAAGAAGGAAGGGAAGGATGGAAAAGACGAGAAGGCAGGCAAAAAGAAAACACAAAATAGGTTGCAGATTGGCTTTTTAAAACGTTTGTTTTGTTCTAAGAATGATGACTAATTAATAGTCTTATGAAAATGCAGGTCAATTAGAAGTATTTGCTTAAAAAAAAAAAAAGAAGAAGAACTTCTGGCCAAGATGGAGGTATAGGTAGACACGGTGTACTTCCTCACACAACCAAAAGAAGGACAACAACAAATTTAAAACAAAAAAAAACAACTAGAATTGATAGAAAATCGAACTGTGTGGAAGTCCTACAACCAAGGAACTAAAGAAGAAACATTCATTCAGACCCATAGGAGGGGCAGAAATGGGCAGCCAGGCAGAGAGGACTTGCAGCAAGGTGGCAGATGGAGGACTGGGGCAAGCAAGGCTGCAGCTGGTGGGCAAGGTGGCAGCTGGCGGACCAGCCAGTCCCACATTCACATGCAGATAAACTGGCAGGAACAGCTGGGGAAGGAGACAGACTAAGCAGCCCAGGGTTCCAGCTCAGGGAAATAAAGCCTCAAAAACTCTGAATGAAAGTACCTGTGGGGTTGAGGCAGGAGCAGGAGAAACTCCAAGCCTCACAGGAGAGTTCATTGGAGAGACCCAAAGGCTCCTAGAATGTAAACAAGCCAACCCACCAGGAATCAGCACCAGAAGGGCCCAGTTTGATTGTGGGTAGTGGGGGAAGTGACTGAAATCTGGCAGAGAACTGAGCAAGGGGCACTGTTCCCTCACGGACCCCTCCCCCACATACAGTGTCACAACGAAGGGATGTGGATTGCCCCACCCTGGTGAACACCTAAGGTTCTGCCCCTCACTATGTAACAGGCATGTCAAGACAAAAAAAAAAACAGCCCAAACGAAAGAACAGATCAAAGCTCCAAAAAAATACAACTAAGCAACAAAAAGATAGCCAACCTATCAGATGCACAGTTCAAAACACTGGTAATCAGGATGCTCAGAGAAATGGTTGAATACGGTGGCAAATTAAATGAAAAAATGAAGGCCATGCTAAGTGAAACTAAGGAAAATGTACAGGAAACCACCAGTGACGGGAAGGAAACCGGGACTCAAATCAACGGTGTGGACCAGAAGGAAGAAAGAAAACATGTGACCAGAACAGAATGAAGAAACAAGAATCCAAAAAAAATGAGGAGAGGCTTAGGAACCTCCAGGACATCTTAAAGATGTCCTGGAGGTTCCTAACATCCAAATCATAGGGGTACCAGAAGCAGAAGAGGAACAGCAAGAAATTAAAAACTTATTTGAAAAAATAATGATGGAGAACTTCCCCAATCTGGAAAAGGAAATAGACTTCCAGGAAGTCCAGAGAGTCCAGAGAGTCCCAAAGAAGTTGGACCCAAGGAGGAACACACCAAGGCCCATCATAATGTCATTATCCAAGGTTAAAGGTAAGGAGAGAATCTTAAAAGCAGCAAGAGAAAAGGAGACAGTTACCTACAAAGGAGTGCCCATAAGACTATCAGTTGATTTCTCACAAGAAACCTGGCAGGCAAGAAGGGGCTGGAAAGAAGTATTCAGTCATGAAAGGCAAGGACCTACATCCAAGATTATTCTACCCAACAAAGCTATCATTTAGAATGGAAGGGCAGATAAAGTGCTTCTCAGATAAGGTCAAGTTAAAGGAGTTCATCATTATGAAGCCCTTATTATAAGAAATATTAAAAGGATTTATCTAAGAAAAAGAAGATCAAAAATATGAACAGTAAAATGACAACAAATTCACAGTTATAACAACCAAACCTAAAACAAAAACAAAAACAAAAACAGAAACTAAGCAAACTAGAACAGGAACAGAATCATAGAAATGGAGATCACATGGACGGTTATCAGTGGGGGAGTGGGTGTTGGGAGAGGGGGGAAGGTACAGAGAATAAGTAGCATAGATGGTAGGTAGAAAATAGAAATGGGGAAGTTAAGAATAGTATAGGAAATGTAGAAGCCAAAGAATTTATATATATATGACCCATAGACATGAACTAAAGGCAGGGAGATGTGAATGGGAGAGGGTGTGCAGGGTGGAGGGGATTAAAGGGGGAAAATGGGACAACTGTAATAGCATAATCAATAAAATATTTTTAAAAAGAAAAATGGTTATTTGCAAAATAATACACTTCCTGTCACTAAAATATTTCATTTTTCATGGGATGGTTGTGTTTTAAAGAGTATAAGAAATACCTGTAATCAGTGGGAAAATGGATTATACTGCTGCTAAGATCTTTCCCAAGGCTCATACTCTTCATTATCATAAAGCCGATATGTTAAGTGATTAGATGTTTATGCTGCTTGTTTCATTTGTTTCAAATGATGTATCCCTTTTCTTCTTCAACTATCTCAACTATATTAACAAGCCACAGATTCCCAAAAACACTCTACAGAGCTCACTTCCAGAAGTATTTAGGCTTGTCAATATAGATTCACAAAGATGAAGACAAACATCTCTCAAAGAGCAGAGAACAGGGTAGTGTGAAGAAGTGTACCCTTGTTTAAGATGTTCTGCCTATACATTGCTTTACTGTCCACACAAAACAAAATCTTTGGAAAAGCCACAAGAGAATTCATTTTAATTAACTTTTCTATGCTTTGATTACAGGAAAGCCAATTTATGACCACAGAGGAAAGGTTCACTGGAGCCATTCCTTGCTAACACAAACTTAAAACAGGTCATCTGTGACCCCAAGTGATCACTTTGAAAAATATTCACAGATTCTCTCCATTAGCTAAGCAGCATGGGCTCAGATTCTAGGCAAAGGTCAAACCTCAATGATGGGATGGGATGGCCTGATAAATGAATCACTACACTAAAACCATAACACACTGCCAACTGGAGATTTCTTTGTCTTTTTTTAATCTTCAGTTACAGAGACATTAGCTCATATTTATCTCTCCCTTGAATTCCCTAGGCATTTTATCCATACCTCTGTTAAACATCTTTCATCCAACTACTTTTAAACTATGAGACTTTATATACTTGTTTTAATTCTCTTACTACACCATGGGCTTCTTTTAAAGCACGATCCATCAGAGTCACCACACATGTTGTAAGGGGACATGGGGAAACTGAAATTCAGCCAGCACCGCTCTGGTCAAGCCCTGTGTCCAGGACTGCATGGGCCTTGAGATATGCTTTTTTCTAATTTACACAAAGAGGTCTCTCTTTTTTTTCCTTATAATTCAGTGTCCTGCACAAGGAAAAATTCAACTCAAGATTTCCTTTCCCTGTGAAGCCTCTTAAACAAAGAAAAGTTTTCATTCCTACTAATCCTAAAATGGACTATGCTGATTTATATAACTGTGAATCTAGTTAATGTTATAAATGTATTAATGTTAAATCTAGATTCACTTCCTAAAAGCCAGGGAGCGTTTGTAGAGCCAGGATTGTGTCTCAGTTGGCCAGGCCACACAGGTTCTACTAATTGTATGACAAGAACAATTAACACTTGCTGATGCTGTATGAACGAAGGAGGATGAAAGGCCTTACCTGTAAACATGGAACCATGTCGCAGCACAGCTGAAGTATCTGTTGTTCCAATACTGATGGCTGTTCTTTGCCACAAGACTCCTGGGGTTGAAGTAAGACTTTTAGCAGGGCTAGTCTGAGTTTAGCATATTCTTGTAACTGGAATGGTTCACAATACAGATACCATAGGAATGGTGCCATTATTTGGACACACGAAACTTCTGACCTGCAAAAATTGTAACACAGAAGCCAACCACTGAGTTAAAGAGTATCAAGCAGTGAAATATCAACTACTAGTTCATGACCTATCATATTTTATCACCAAGTTTGACTTTTTTTCATAATTCTATTACATCATAACTTACCTAGACCCAGGCCAAACAGTTCTTTTTCCACTGGAGAAAAATGACTCAGTACCTGGAGACCATCAGCCGGATGGCCAGGAATAGGAGAGTCTCTACCTGCACACTAGAATAGCATCTACACCTCAGTCTTTGGTGAACAGCAGAATCATCTGAGAACCTGTTTAGACTTCTAGACGTTAGGGCCCATTGTCCAGTAATATACCACAGGTATACATTTTTTTAAAAACTCTATAGTTGTGATTCTATGTGAAACAAAGCCATAGTGACAACCCAAGAAGATTGTAACAGTTAATATTTACTTGTGAACTTGTTAACATGGAGTACAAGTAACTGTACTTCATGCTTTTAAAGTAATTTGATCTTCAACACAACTCTGTAAAATAAAAAACACTGGGTTGGCCAAAAAGTTCATTTAGTTTTTTCCGTAAAATAAAACACATTTTTCATTTTCAACAATAACTTTATTGATTTGAATATTTTGAGTGTGCTGGCTATCTCCCACACACTCAAACTGGTATGAGGTTGATTGTTTTCAATCAATGTCTCGATGTGATTGCTATCAACTTCAACCGGTTTACCCAACCGTGAGGCATCATCCAGTGAAAAATCTCCAGCACAAAACTTGGCAAACTACTTTTGACATTTTTGATCAATCACAGCACCTTCTCCATAAACTGCACAAGTCTTTGTGTTTTAGTTATATTTTTACCTTTCCTGAAATAATAAAGCATAATATGCTGAAAATGTTGCATATTTTCTTGCATCTTCAATATTAAAATGGCTACACAAAAATTCACTGATTTCGATAAGTTTTCTTTTAAATGCACAGCTCTCACAATACAATCTAATAAAATTGTTTTGAATGAACCTATAAACAACTAAGCACCACTAAAGTCAGCTTATGGAAAAACCAAACAAACTTTTTGGCCAGCCCAATATTGTATTACATTATGCAGCAACTAAGGCCGTGAGAGGTGAAGTAATTTACCAAGGCCATCTACTTAAGCTTTTGCCATTCAAAAGAGGAAGACCTTAACAATCTTTTGGATCTTTAGATTTCAATATATCCCAATAATTCCAAGTTGAAAGTCACTCAAATACCAAAATGACCTTTCAAATATAAAAATTTCATCATGTCATTAACTAGTTTAAAAGAGTTTACACTTAAGATAAAATATTTAGCCCAATTCACAAACCCTTCATATTTTGACCACTGCTTATCTTTCTAGCCTTATTTTTTGCTCTTCTCCATTCTCCACTGAACACTAAGCTATCAGATCTGTCATCAGGCTTCCCTCTCACTTGCTGTTCCCTCTGTCTGTAATACTGTTCTCTTGCTCCCTTCCCTGTTCCTTCCTCTACCCAATTTCTACCATCTTTCAGGTCTCTCCTTTAAAAGCACTTCCTGAGGGCCTTCCCTGATACCTAACCTAGGTCAGAGCCCTATTTTGTGCTCCCACAGGACAATGACTTCATCATCATTTTTTTAATGCCTCTATCCCTTGTTAGATGAACAAGGGCATGGACCTTGGGTTTCTGTTCACTTCTGTATAAGCAATAACTATACACAGTAGGCCTTCAAAGAGGTGCTTATTTGGTTATTAATTGATTCAGTTACACTAAATGTAGAGTAGCTTTACAATTAACACATATCAATTAAGTATCAGGACTTTATTTTGTTTTTCATATTTATTATACGTAAGAAATTATTAGGTAAGCTACAAAGATGAACCAGGCATTATCTATTCTTAAGAAGCACAGAATGTAACAGGGGCAATCAGTTCTGCCCCTGGACTAGAGGACAGAAAGTGAAAATCGCTGAAAGAAAGGTACAAAGTGCACTGCTGCATAGAGGAAATGGTATTTGCATTACAATTTATTTATTTATTTACTTATTTATTTCTGTATTTATTTATTTATTAGGGAGAGAGGGGCAGGGAGGGAGAAAGAGAAAGAGAAACATTGATGCAAGAGAGAAATCAGGCATGTGCCCTGACTGGGAATCAAACCAGCAACCTTTCACTTTGCAGAATGACACCCAACCAACTCAGCGAATCAGCAAATTATGATTGACCATGTAATTTTATAATACTATTCATTTTACAGCAAAGTGACTTTAAAACATCACCATTAATAAAAGCCCTAAAGTTACCAAATCAGTAAGATTTAATTAATTTATTCAATTATTTATTCTCTGGGTAATATGTGCTTAGTACCTATATATCATTCACTCTTCTATGTACCAGAAACAAAAATAGATTAAATCCTTGTTCTGATGGAGCTTACAATCTATACGTATATTTTTTCCTCAATAGCACAAATACTTATACAATCTATAAAAAACAAAAGAAGGGCTTTTTTGAGTTCATAATTATTACTGAAACATATCTTTACCATACCATCCACTTTGGAAAACTAAACGCAGTTTCACAGATCAAGCAAGCGATTTATTGTGAGCTAGACTATGAAGCACAGGTTTCCAGAAAAGAGATTTAGCAACAGTTTTCCCATCTCTCTAACAATGTTTTCCCAAAGAAGAAATACAATCCAGGTGTCAAGAATATCCACTACCAGCTTATTAGTTTTCTCCTACTTTGAGATGCTGAAGGTGAAATGCAAGATTCATATAGAGAAGTATATTTCCAAGTTACTGTTATTACTTGACATCAGGAGCATAATGTTGAACTTTCTGAAGGACAATATAGTATTACACTGTTTAGAAATTTCCTTGGCTTAATCTGTCCCAATTTTGAATACTCCATTTCCTATGTGGTATCTAATGATTAACTATAACTTCAGTATGCATGAAATTGACAGGGCTTATGAGAAAAAAGAAAATAATAAAACATAACCAGAAATTCCAATGTGATTAAGAATATTTAAAAATGTAACCAAGGGTATATGTATGTACATATATATCTTTCATATTTCTGTTTACCATTAAGAGAGAAGTGACAAGAAAAGACCTGGAATAAGAATAAAAAACTGAGGCTTTCGGTCCCATTCTGCCATTCACTAGCCATGTGACCTTGAACAAGTCATTTAATGTTGTTCTCCTTAGTTCCCTCATGTGAAAAAACATGTTAGACTACATAACCTTGAAGTATACAGGTCTAAAGACCATGACATCACTGTCAATTTACACAAATCTCAGTTCCATGAAAGTGAAGTTTTAACATTACAGGGCCTTCTACAAATGAATGCAGAACTTAATCATAAAATAACGCCACTCTAAAACCTTGCATAATGATCTACTGTTATTTCCAGACATCTACATACTATTAAAAATGAATGCAGCCCTCACTGGCATGGCTCAGTGGACTGAGTGCCAGCCTATGAACAAAGGGTCACCAGCTGGGTTCCCAATAGTAAAATAAATAAAATAAAAGGGAACAGGGGAAGAAAATAAAAATATTTTGTCACTCTTAAGACTAAAAATTGCCATAGCTGGTGTACCTCAGTGGATTGAGCATGGACCTGCAAACCAAAGGATCGCTGGTTCAATTCCCAGAGCACATGTCTGGGTTGCAGGCCAGGTCTTCAGTAGGGGGCGCACGAGAGACAACCAATTGATGTATCTCTCACACACCTGTTTCTCTCCCTCTCTCTCTCTCCCTTCCCCGTCTAAAAATAAACAAAATCTTTAAAAAAAGAATGCAAACAGCTAGTCTAATCAATAATTCCTAACACAGAAAAAGATAGATTACAAGCTATCTCCACAACATTTAGCCTCCTCTGCATAGTTACAAATCACTAGATTATTAAATTATCTACCTCCTTTTTTAAATTATATTTTATTGATTATGCTATTAAAATTGTCTGAATTCTTTTCCCCTTTGCCACCCTCCACCAAGGACCCCCAACTCCCTCAGGCAATCCCCATACCATTCTTCATGTCCATGGGTCATGTGTGCAAGTCCTTTGGCTACTCCATTTTCTATACTGTACTTTACATCCTAATGGCTATTCTGTAACTACCTATTTGTACTTAACTGCCTCACCTCTTCACTCATTCCCCCAAACCTACCCAACCAACAGAACACTATGTATCCATGATTTTGTCTGTTCTTCTTGTTTCCTTAGTTTGTTTTTTAGATTCAGTTGTTGATAGACATGTATTTATTGCCATTTTATTGTTCACAGTTTTGATCTTCTTTCCTAAATAAGTCCCTTTAACATTTCATGTAATAATAGTTTGGTGATGATGAGTCTTTAGGTTGTTAGTTTTTTGGGGGGAGGGTTTTGTCTGGGAAGCCCTTTACCTGCCCTTCAATTCCAAATATAGCTTTACTGGGTACAGCAATCTTAGCTATAGGTCCCTGCTTTTCATGACTTTGAAAATTGCTTGCCAATCCCTTCTAATCTGCAAAGTTTCTCATGGAAACTCCCCTGTAGATAATTAGCTACTTCTCTCTGGCTGCTTTTAAGATTCTCTTTATCTTTAACCTTTGGCATTTTAATTATGATGTGTCTTGGAGTGGGCTTCTTTGCATCCATCCATCTAGTTTGGGACTTCATGTGCTTCCTAGATTTGCATGTCTATTTCCCTCACCAAATCAAGGAAGTTTCCTTTCATTATTCTTTCAAATAGATTCCAATTTCTTGCTCTTGCTCTTCTCCTTTTGGCACCCCTATGAAGTTGTCCCAGAGGTAGCTTACACTATCCTCATTTTTTTTATTCTTTTTTTATTCTTGTTCAGATTGGTTGGGCTTGGGGTTTTTTTGTTTGTTTTTTCTTGTTTTGTTTTGTTTTGTTTTGTTTTTGCTTCCTTATGTTCCGAATCATTGATTTGATTCTAGGCTTCCTCCACTCTACTGTGGTTTCCCTGTAAATAGTTCTTTATTTCAATTAGTGTATCCTTCAGTTCTGACTGATTCTTTTTTATGCCGTTGACATCCTCACTAAGTTCCTTGAGAATCCTTATAACCAGTGTTTTGAACTCTGCACCTGATAGATTGCTTATCTCCATTTTGTTTAGCTCTTTTTCTGGAGTTTGATCTGTTCTTTCAATTGGGCCATGTTTCTCTGTCTCCTCATTTTGGCAGCCTCCCTCTGTTTGTTTCTATGTGTTAGGTAGAGCTGCATGACTCCCTGTCTTGGTAGCATGTCCTAATGTAGTAGGTGTCTTGTAAAGTCCAGTGGCACAGTCTCCCCTATCACCCAAGCTGGATACTTGAGGTGTACCCTCTGTTTGGTCTGAGTATACCTTCCTCTTGTAGTTGAGCCTTGATTGCTGTTAGCAGGTCAATGGGAATGATTTACCCAGGCCAGTCAGCTGCCAATGATTGGCTGTAACCACTGACCAACCTCTACCCTCTATAGCAGATCAGGTGTACAGGGGCAGGGTGTTATGCTTTAACATGATCTATAGCTGCCCACTGGATACCCAGGCTCTGGGGTTTCCTGGGGTATAGGCCAAGATCAGCTCCCACCTGTGTTCTGCCCAGGGCCACCTAGTAGAGCTATAAAGCAATCTGAGATGGATGCTATTTGTGTTGGACTTGGAGATTCCCAAGCAAAGCCAAGCTGTGAATTTAGGCTGGCTGCTACAAGTGCTGGGTCTGTGGCCACTTAGCAAGAGGTATGGGGGCTGAGGAACTGGGGGCTCACTGAGGCCAGCTGTTGCTTGTTTGACAGGATTTAGGAAGTAGTGAAGCAAGAGCCTAGACAAGCCATTCATAGTGAAAAGTCATCATAACAGTGAGTGACCCTGTAAGGTGGGTGGTAGAGTCTCAGGGGATCTTAAGGGCAGAGAAAACAGTGTTAGCCAGGTAGATGGAGTCTCAGATATGGTACCTGCCTGTCAGCTCTGAGGCTCTCTGGAGGGAGGGCTCAGAAAAGGGACAATGGCCTCTGCCTGCCTTTCTGTCTGGGAGAAGAGCCTATTGATGCCAGGCACTTCAGTTTTTCCTGGTATACCACTGGTGCCTTTCAAGTTCCTACACCGGTATCCACCTTCTTTCTAAACAACAACTTAAAACTGCTAAGTTAACTTACTCTAAAATTAAATCAAGAAAACCAACAGTCTGCTGAAAATGCAATCAGAATTATAATTTCTACTGCAAAGAATAATCTCATAGTGCAAAAGTAGAAATGAGGCAACTGCAGTTATTTTTTTGTAAATTAATATAAAATAATTTAGAACTTCCAAAAGGCTCTAGATAGCATATCCTAACACCTGAGAATTTAAAGGAAAAGAGTAAGTCAATAGAAGCTTATCAGTAAATAAACCAAAGTCTATTAATAATCTTTTTTTCCTTATGAATATCTGGACAAATTTCATTAGAATAAATACACCCAAATCCCAAAACAATATTCCTTTAAAATGAAAATAACCAAAAGCTAAATTACCTGTCAATTAAAGCATTGAAAAAGAGATTCTTAAAGAAGCTTAATGACACATTGGTCAAATTAGCAGCAACATCCCTTAAAAAGTATCCCTATCTATTTAATAAGAGAAATGTCATTAAACAAATGTGTTTACTGTAAATTTATTTTTGGTTTCTAACATAGTTGATGAAAGATTTATTTAGTAAATACTAATCCTACCTTTGAAAGTGCAATCCTAGGTGAGAGAAGAAAGGATAATGATGTATATTTTTGGCTATTCATTTAGATGCCACATGGATTTTCTGACTGGGAGATGATTACAAGGTTCCCTATATCTCTTTAAAACTTCCTATACCACGTTATACTGCTTAGAAATTCTATCTAAAACTTAAGTTATGGACTCAAGTGGTGTTCTAAGAAACTACATCTATAGGATACTGTAAAATACATCTATAGGATACTGTAAAAACTTCAAGAGTAGGAAAACATGAATGAAGTTGGTGTGGCGAGTGTAACTCAGGCATTGGATTACTCTAGACAATGGTATCCTATCATGACCTTGCATGATGGTACTATGTATATATTATATATTAGAAGGAATGCTCCAACCCACTGCCTGGGCCCACCAGTCTGTGAGCCTCACGTGTATAAATCCAACACTTACAGAGCACCTAGAAATCTGCCAGTCATTATTAGTTCAAAGAATAATGACATAGTCTTATATTTGCCCTCAGGAAGGTTTCACAGTTAACAGAGGAGAGTTAATTATAAGACAATGGAGTGAGTATAATGATGTAAGAAATCACAACTGAAATTATGGGAGCATATAAAATATACCTAAGTGAGCCTGTGGTAAGCAATGACCTTCTAGGAGAGAGAAAGCTTAAACGGAGTTTTAAGAGAGAAATTGGGAAAGGGTTGTGGTAAGGTTTAAGAGATGAAGGTGGGTACTAACAGAAGCACAGAGGCAAGAGAACAGCACTGCTTCCTGTGTGGAAGTCAGCGTATTGTTGGGTACACAGGTCATGAATTGTGAGATAAAGACAGATGATAAAACTGGTAAAACAGGTGAAACCATATCATACACAGAGCCTAGAATAATATACTTGATTTTATCTTGTAGCCTGGGGATTTTCCAACTATTTCTGAAACCAAACTCTCTTTTTTTTTTAATATAAAGCTTCCATAAGCTATCAACATATAAGTTTTACAAAAACAGACCCGAAGGGGGTAAGGGATTCCCTGTACTTAGCCCACACATTTCAAGTGCAGTATGAAAACCACAGGTGTGGTGATTTAAGTAAAGGAGTGATACAATAATATTTGCTCTCTGGATATATCACTCTCTACACAGAGAACAGATTTGAGTAACATGAAATTAGAGGCAAAAATGTCAGTTACAAACAAGTCACAAAAGGCAAAAGATGGTGACCTAAGCTGGTGTCATGGTTATAAGAATAAAAGAAAGGGGGCAGTGTAGAGGAACATCAGGAGGTCCTGCTGAAGCTAAACTAACTGCTCATATGGTTGCTACCTAATCCCAGCTGGAACTATCACTTGATCCCACTTGGCAGGTTTCAAACAGGGAGAGTTTAACTCACTAATCAATTTGTGGGGTTGGGGGGGAGGAACTATCTTCTACACGTATTGTGTATGGAGTATCAAGACTTTATACCCTGTTTCATATTATTACTAGGAGAAACTGATTTATGTTCTTTTGCTTTACATTAATTGTTTAACACAACTATTAAAATGATTTGTCATTAAAATTTTTTAAATGTATAGTAGTTCACTGAATATTTCTAATAAACTTTCCTAACTAACCAATGTTTAACTTCTTTAATAATAGCTTATCTTATATTTAATATTTAAACAATCAATAAATGTGGTAGGTTTTTATTTCCTTACTCTTAAGGAAATACAAAAGTATATATGCTTAAAGACATTTCTTCAGCCAAAGCAGCTTAAAAAGAAAAACCAAGCTCTAAAATTAGCATATACCATTCCATCACCCTCAGTTATTTTATTTTACATTACCTTTCAGGGCATTGCTGGAAAAAAGCTGTCAGCTGCTGCAAAAGTACTGGCCAGCAATCAGGTCTGTGTTCAAGCACAGTGATCAAAGGCTGAGGGTGATTTCTGAAACACACAGAAAAGCCCATTGGAAACTGTCATTTCAGGACTATACATTCTCAATATCCAAATACAGCAGGAAAAAAAAAAAGCCAATGCCATCTATAGACTTTTTTGCAGGATTCATAATTGTCACAAAATTATCTGCTTCATTTGTTGGCAAGTTGCTTCATTAGAACTGACATTTTTTTCCTTTAAACTGTTTTACAGAAAATAGAATGAACCCCAAGTCTTAGAGACCCAAAGCCCAGAATGGACTCTGCCACTCAACAGCTCTATGGCCAACCAAGCTCCTGAATCCAGTAGCTCTCTCATCTCCATCCCTTGATTCCTTTACTCTTGAAAGTCATGCCTCCTTCTCCTGCTACTCTCCTTAGGAACCTGGAATGTTCCATTTTCTCTAACATTGCCCCAACTTGTAAGCACTATCTCTTTTCTGTTCCCACTTACCCCATTTCTCTCAGGGTATGACTCCATGTTCCCTCAGTATATTTAATATGGGAAAAAGAAAATATTTCTCCCACCTCAAACAACAATCTGTCCAAATTGAAAATGCTTCAAATTTCTCTTGAATGGGGATGAATCTTTTTATTTGGTCTACATTAATTAAGATACCTAAAAACCTATATAAAACATAAGATCTGAACTCTGAAGAATTCTTAAATAAGAAAAAGAATAAAAGCACAAGCTATTTTAAATAGCTCAAAGAGTCTACAAGAAACTCTAAATTCATTAGAATCTTAAACTCTGAAACACTATACAAGGTTTTGAGTTAGTATGGAAGTGACTTTTTCCTCCAAAAAATTTTAAAAATAAAATGTAAATCCTTATTATAAATTCAAAAAGAGAAATATCCATGTTTTTACTATAAAAGGAATCAAATACATAATGTAATTTTTAACTGAACAAAATATCACTAGTGATGATTTAAAGAAAATAAAAACAAGCAGACTAGTTTCACTGAAATTGATTTTTTAAGACAGGCTTCTTGGTAGTTCTGAAAGTGTGATCACCTTACCTGCAATATCAGCATCACCTGGGAACTTGTTAGAAATGTAAATAAATCCCAGGCTCCAGCCCAGACTTAATAGCCCTACAAATAATTCTGATGCACTGCTATAAAGGAGTGGTTCTTAACTGTGTCTGCAAGTTAGAGTCATCTGTGGAGCTCTTTAAAAAAAATACCAATGTCCAGGTCTCAATTATATTCAGGTTGCTAGGAATGGAGCCCAAGCATTAGTAATTTTAAAAAACTCCTCTGGCAATTTTAATGTGTTGCCTGGGATGAGAACCACTACCAGTAAACCACCACAGAAGAGGAAAGTTGTTAGGAATTAGAAAGTTTTCTGATTTTTGTTTTCTCTCTTAAACAGAAAAGTATGTCAGATCCATCACATTCAAACACTCATCTTAAACACCTCTCTGACACTACTACACAGTTCTGGCTATTATAACACCATCTCTTTATTTTCTGCTCAACCTCACCTAATCTATCACACACTAACATCACTTGCTGGCAGCATGTTTTACTAAAGCACAGGCTATTTCTGGCTGATGAGGTTACTGCCATTACAAGGAATCACTCTAAGCAATTTCTTTACACTAAAACTCAAAAAAATCATATAAAAATCACATTTCTAAATTTCAAATTCGTTGGCAGTTAAACCTGTCTAGAACTTGCTTCTACTATGGTTGCCACAGATACTTAACAACAAATTTAACAAATCCTAAAAGCATCTCAGGCATGACACATCAACTGATACTCTTAAATGAAAAGTTCAGTAGGTCATGTTCAAGTAAACATGAGTAAAGAGAATAGCACAGCAACTGCAATGATTTTATCTATGTGTTTTACTTCTGAAAAGCACCATCATGACATAAGAAGCCAGCTAGTGGCAGCATTTATAACAACTTAAAAAGAAAATCAATGTCTTCAATGTGGGGGGGGCGGTTTGGGATAGGGGTAAAAGGCATAAAACTGTACTTGAACAACAATTAAAAAAAAAAAGAAAATCAAACAAGTTACCACATAGTTTTTGTGTGATCACAAAGCACTGAAGTGCTTTTTAATACATTCCCCTTATCAGTCAGTTATCCTCCACCCCTTCCAGCTCCTCACGCCCCCAAAATGTTAAATATCTATCTACTTTTTAAAAGTTAGTTTTGACCAAAGAGTCACTGCCTTGATTCACAGTCAGGGCACATGTCTGGATTGTGGACAGAGTCCCCAGTAGGGGTCATGTGGGAGGCAACCACACAATGATGTTTCTCTCCCTTGCTCCTTCCCTTCCTCCCTCCCTAAAAAATAAAATATTTAAAAAAATAAAATATTATAATTTGAGCATTTAAAATGTCATAAGGCTAAGTTCACTCTTGATATATTCAAGGATTAATTATTCAATTTATGGATTATTCAAGCTTTTTCTTTTCCTTCTTACTCTCACTCAGTGCTTATTAGCCATTCCACTTCTTTCAAGTACACTTAACTGGAAAAGCTCGAGGTAAATGAAGGGCTGACAATTTAAATAAGTCAACTTTGCTCTTATTTAGAAGCACTGTTGATCAAAAAAGAAATAATGTGGTACAAAAGAACACCAAAACAAAACCTGGGTTATACCTAAAAATTTCAATTATCCTCAGGCCTACTATTCAAGTTACAGAGTAAATGGACTACAATACTTCATTCAAAATGATAGATGGGTTGACCATACAATCAACCTGATCACTGGTAAAACAGTGGCAGATAATAAACTACACAAGCTTTGATAAACAAATTTGGGGCATTGTTATTGTTATTATGACATAAGCAATGCCTACATAGTATCATCAAAATTATTTACTGTTATACTGCTATTTTGTCTCAGAATAAAATACAAGTGGAGAGATGAGGTAAAATAATAGAGGAAAGCACTGAATTAAGAATCAAGAGTTCCAATTTACATTCTGGCTCTGCAACAAATTGTGTGATCTCAGGCAAGATAATTAACCTTTCTTAGGCAATTTCTTTATCTGTAAAATAAGGAAATCAGGCTAAGTACCTTCTAGTGCTAAAGTTATATAACCTAAGACACCCATTAAAGCCCTAACCTTCATACTGCTCAGAACTAGAGGTAGAAACAAACCCTGTAAAAGCAGAAAGCAGTGAAGACAGCTCTCAACTATTAATAATTCCATGTCAAGTTAAAATAACTCTAAGAACAATGTCTATTAAAATCTGAGACCTAAAAGTATCCATTTTTATCTTGAAGAGATAAATCACCCTATATATTTTTTTATTTCAGAGAGAAGTGTTGCAACAAGGAGCCCACAGAAATTTTTAAATAAGAACATTCTAACTCTTGAGACATCCAATAGATTCTGCTTTCTTCTTAAAAGAGAATAAATAACATTGTTTCTAAAGATTAAAATCAATACAAACCAGGGAGCCAGGTCACCCTTCATTGGCCTATTTAGCGCCTCTAATCTCTCCTTCACTGTGTGTTGTTTTTCTCCTCGTACCACAATGAATGAATGTGTTGTACATTCTTCGGCACTTCACTTCCCTATTTCATAATTTGTAAATGTTTTAATGGCTATTTTAAATAAAGCATTTACCATAGTACCAGCACACAGAATACTCCATAAATGGAGTACTATTATGATTATCATGCAGGTAGGCTTGTACCTTACACTAGAACAAAAGCAGCTTGAAAGCTGGATCTATGTCTTATATCTTTTGTTTCCCTTTCAGTGTTAAATGTACATCTACAATAAATGTATTACACATACACACATTTTCCCCAAACCACACTTTTAAACTCTTTGGATCATTAAACCAACTTATCATAGCCCCACCAGTACACTGTTTCAAAGTCCATGTGGATTAAAGAAAAAAAATTTAAAAGCACAGGAAGTATGCAGAACTGGTACCTAATACTGCAGTGCTCCCACCCTTTAGTAATATTTCCAACACATGGCAATACGTGCATCTTAACAGAATGGAGCGGAGGAAGGAAGGAATGATCAATTCATGGTTCCACTAGCACAGAAGCGATGGTCAACTAAGGTGTATAACTAGATTCACCTCTCCAAGTATAAGCGCATTAATCTTAACAGAAAAGAGTAGTTAAAAATTAGTCTTGTGGTAGGCAAATCAAAAAGCAAAAGTTATTCGTAACCTTTAGGTCATCTCAAATTTTCTGCTACATCTCTGAATATAGGAAAGCCAAGATTTGATTTACATCATAAATCCACTGATAGAGAGAGATTGCCTTTTCTGTGTAAGGAAAAAATGCCTGCAGTCACCATGCCTTTTCTGTGTACAGCTGTGACCCTGGCACTTTCAGAAGCATAGCATAGCACTTACTACATCAAATATGCATTTTAAAAGCTATTCTCTACCTGCTCTGAATTTTGATTTGAGTGTACTAGTTAGAAGCCAAAAAGGGATTTTTTAAAAGCTCTGTAGATTTTAAGTTAAAAAAATGCATACTGCAAAATTATGAAGATTCCACAATGAATATTACTATAAAATAAAACAATAATTATAACTCATTATATATTCCATAGTGTTTTAAGAAAAAAACGTTTTATCCTTCCAATACATGGCAATACGTGCATCTTAACAGAATGGAGTGGGGGAAAGAAGGAATGATCAATTCATGGTTCCCATACAAGCTCCCAGAAAAAGACTCAGAGAAAAAGTGATTTTAATTTTGACATTTTTGACTAAATTTATTTTTTCTTTGGATAAGGTAAATAGGGAGAGTATAGCTTTTATTTGAAAATACATATGTTTCATTTTATGATGATTCTGCCCTCACAATGAACTTTCACAGAATCCCTGTTTTGAGGGGAAGGGATTTTTCTCAAATTTATTGCAGTGACATTGGTTAATAAAGTTATATAGGTTTCAACTGTGCAAGTCAATGATACATCACTTTCATAGGATCAGGGATTTAATGCAAAGGTGTCTGCCAGTGTCAGGAGTGTGGGGTTATTTTAGGTATAGAGTGATGGTTGGGGAA